TTATGAATTTGTTTCACAAGTACTTTTTAATTTAATTTTATAAAAATCAAGCGAACAATCACGCGACCACACCAGTGACCCAATGTCTTGACTAGGTCGATCAATAATTTTTATTTAAAAATAAAGAAGTCTAATAAAAAATAAAGACATCATGAGTATTATTTAACTATATAATATCAAATTACTTTTAATTAGGTTAGTTTGTTATATATATATATATATATATATATATATATATATATATATATATATATATATATATATATATATATATATATATATATATATATATATATATATATATATATATATATATATATATATATATATATATATATATATATATATATATATATATATATAGAGAGAGAGAGAGAGAGAGAGAGAGAGTATTCTTACTCTAAGAGTAAATTATCAAATCTTACTTCACAACCATTAATTCATTTTTAATCCATGGCTAAAAAACAGTCGGTAATTATTTGTTATGTGTTCATTTTGTTTTCCTCTCTCCATATTTTATTATTGATTATTTTTAGTCATTGATTTCAAATGATTTAATGGTCAAGATGTGGAGTAAATTTTAACAACTTACTCCCGAAGTGTGTGTGTATATATATAATTTTTAAAAAGATATTTTTTAAAATATTAAAATTCTTTTTTTATAAATTAAAAGATTAATTTTTATATTCTATATAATTATGTAAAATTAAAACACAATGAAAATAAATTTTATTTAAAAAAATATATCTCAAAAATAATTTTTATGAAAAACTATTTGAAACAGTTTCAATTTAAGTAATTATTTTTTAAATTTTAATATATAAAATAATTAAATTTTAAGAATAAATATTTAATTAAATTTTATATATTTTTTAGACAAATTATTTAATACTATAAAAATTATTTTAGAAATTAAAATAAACGGGTTTTAAATCTAATTATACCTCGATTATACTAGTCAGACTTAAGGATGTCAATTTACGTCCGTTAACAGAGGTTCCTGTGAGGATTATCTGTTTGGAGCTTCGAAGTCGAGATTTTTTTCTCCCGCTGAGACGGGGACAGAGGAAAAACCCTGATGACACTTTGGGGCGAGAATCGGAGAAGTACTCTCCATCTCGTGAATTCCCCAGACCCCGACCGTACTATTTAACTTTTATAAAGTTTTTATTGTAAAATATATTAATTATTTAATTTTGCATGTTTATTTTATAAGAATTAATTAATATATTAAGAAATGAAGAGTCAGAAGTGAACTCTTTTTGTTTTGTTTTTGTTTTATTGAATAATGTATTTTTTTTATGATCGAAGTACCTAATCCTAGAAAAGTTCACTCAATACATTCAGTGTGCACACCCTTTCCTCTCCTTCTTTTCTCAATTCCCCTATATTCCTCTATTCTCATCATCATCATCAAAACAACCATCATTCTTTGTTCATTGTACTTATGTTAATTACTCTTTAACTTTAATATACTTCAATTAACAACCTGATTTTTATTCAATTAGTAAATTAGTTGTTATATTTTCGTAACTTCAAGTGCTTTTGCATTTGTTTGTTATTGATGCAAGATGTGTTTTTATTTATAAAAACATAAAGAAATATGCAAAATATATGTTTTAAAAAAAAGAAGAAAAAAAACTAAATACTAGTGTCATAGTTTTAATAAAAAATATATATAATTTTTTTAATGATTCGATCTCCGTGGATCTCTGATTCTCTATGAGATTTATGGGGATGAGGATAGGGAAAAATATTTTCTTGAAATGGAAATCGGGGACGGGGCGGGGAGCAGAGAAGCATCCTCCTTCTCGCCCCCATTGACATCCCTAGACTATTTAAATTTTGATTTTAATAATGAAGAAGAATTTTAGTTTTTAATTTTAATTTTAAAAAATTAAGTTAAACTAAATAACATTTACTTGAATTTAAAAAAATAAATAAATTTTTTAATATATTGTGTCATGTCATCAAAATTAATAAAAAACAATTGAAAACAAAATCAAATTTATTGATATTGTGATTAATGTGCATGCTTTTGAATTTTGAGTGATGTCAAAACTAAGATAGTATAGCGTTATGTTTATTTGACGATATCATCCTATTCTAGACGTGCATCTTAGTGTTAGAAGTCATTTGAGTAAGTTGGAAAAGAAGCTTACATCAAAATTGCATTGAAAAACTTGTTTTTGGGTGGTCGAGCCTTTTCAAGCCGACACATGCAAAAACAGGTCGACCTATACGACTTATAGGTCCAGTATAGACCGACCTATAGTAATTTCAGGGCGGCTCCCATGGAGCAATATTGAAACCTGTAGCTTCTGTCCACAGGTCACCTCACACAGGTTGACCTGTACGCATCACAAAACTTCCATAGACCGACTATGACCTTAACATGCCGACTTGGTTGTATTGGCAGGCCGACCTGTTGCTTTGACAAACTGACCTATATGATTTTGCAACTTAAACTTCTCATTCTTGCTCCAACTTATTGCATTCCGTTTGTTTATTTTTCAACACATACCTATATATACTCATACATGCACCATTTATGTAGCAAGGTACTAGTGAATTACCTATACGAAACCAGATTACAATCTTTAACCTCTCTTCTATGCATACACACAATTGAACTACACATAATCATTTTTCGATTGGGTGACCATCTAGATTAAGGTTGATAACGTCCAATTAGGTTGATGTAACCGAGAATATTGGTTGGGATCTTTGTATGTTTCAAATAAGAAAACCAAGGTGGGGGTTTTCTTCAAGATCAGTGTGATTTGAAGGTTTTGGACAAGATCAAGTAAACACAGATTCAACCAAGTGAAGGCCTTGGGACAATGTGGTTTCCTTGCAAAGGAGTAGCGCGAGACGGTGAATCGTGTTCGAGAATCTTGGGTTCAACAAGTGCGTGCTCGGGATAATCTGAGGGTTGTAGCCACATTGTTGGTGACTTGATCAAGCTTTGATCAAGGGTTTAAAGGTGGTTGATTCAAAAACAAATAATAGGGTTTGTAGGGTTAGAATTTTTCACCTCTTGTATAGATATTTTTGCAAAGATAAGGTTAATTGCAAGTATCTTAATTCGATTTCGGATTGAGGGGGACGTACCCATAACGAGCCGATTTGAGAACTGCCTAAACAAATTTTTGTGTCTCTTTATCACTTTAATTTTCTTTAATTATTATTCTTGCAAATTATCAATTTCGTTGTTGTTTCGATTAATTCGATTGAAAATTGTTTTTAACTTTCTTTTAAGTTGTTGTTGTTGTTGATATTATCACAATCACTTTGGTTGTGATTGGCTTTTTACACCAACAAAATAAATCAAATTTTCGAACGTGATCAAGCGCACACAAAGTGTTCGATAAATTGTTTGTGAGTATTTTTATCGCTTTGTTTTCATTAGAAATAAGCATTACGAATAGCTTTGCATTTGATTGATCCGTGACTTGATCATTGTTGAATAATTTGCTTTCATTATCATTCCATATGATATACGTTGCACATATAACTTTTCAATAGTATGTTCGGTTAAACGATTCAATTCAGATTGTTTTTCCGTTGTGCCATATTTTTTGAAAACAAATTTTTGTCAAGAATTTTTTATTTTAAATTTGTGATCTATCTATTCATGTGCCTCTAATCTAAATCGAAGTCTATCGTCTAACAATTAACCCAATTAAGATACCATACATTTTCAAAATTGAATGTAAAACAAAAAATATTTTTTTTTATAAAAGAATATATTTTTAGATAATATTAACTCATGCTAGTGAAACACAAGTTAAAAGATAAATATAATAAAAAATTTCAAAAATTATATGTTAAATTTAATATAAATTTATAATTAATAATTTTATTATGTTATTCGATACGAATTTTACATTTTTTTTATAGATTCGGTCAAAATAGCATGAGACAAATTAAATATTACTAGAGTTTAAATGATTAAATAAAATCTATTTGAAATTTTGTAATTATAAAGAGTGCATTAAAAGAGTTTCATCCTTGCTTTCTTAACTAGAGTCAGACTCACATGTTTTATGTTGTAGTACTAGTAGAGTTTGAATTTATTTCGTTCAAAGTTGATTCAATGTTTGCGATATACATTGAATACGAAGTCAACTCGTTCATACTATGACTCATACCACCATATAATTAAGCTAGAAAAAAAATGCAAATATTTGAAAATCAGAATCACGCTAACACGCACTATCTTGTCACAATTATTAAAGAATAAAAAAATTGTAAAAACAAAAAACAAAATTTTTAGAATCTCACTTCTAATATAATATCTCTCTATTGTTTTTAATTTTTTAAATCAAGTATTTCAAAATAGTTAGATCAATCTTAATATGTGTATTTAATAAGTTACATTTTTTCAAATAATAACATTATTTATCTAAAATCAAATAAATCCAACTTTTAATTTTTGTTTTTTAATTTATTCAAAAAAAGTTGTTACATATTACTAATTTCTAGTATTTTCCAGTGTAATTTTAGAATTAGTTCTAAATAAAGTTAAAAATATGTATAATCTAATAATTGCAATTAGTTAAGGTTAACAGAGTAACAAAACGGCACCGCATTACTAGAACAGCACTAACTCAAAACAGTAACAATAACGAACCACCACCACAACCACAACATTATACTATTCTCCATCGTTATCATCATCGTTATTACTATTACCAACAGCACTTTTGTATTTGCTCTGTTCTGTTACTGTTACTGACATAAACATAAAACAAAACAAAAAACACGCGTCCTCTGAGAAAGACCTTTCAATCCAAAAATTCTTATAAAATCAAAAAGCATTATATATTTTTTATAGTATCAAAATTTCCTTGGTCACCATAATACCTACTAGTACTTTCTTTTCCACTTCCCACTAAAAAAAACTTTAGCATGTCTTATTTTTTATATTTATTAATATTAATTTTTTATTATTATTAATATTTTTATTATCTTTTTCATTAGAGACCCTAACCCTGATGCAATCAATCAGAAAATCCTTCAAATCTTTGGCTTCATATAATAAAATATATTCTAGAAAGTTCCCAGATTCCGACTCCGACTCTGACTCCGACTCCGACGAGGGTGAACATATCCCTATTCTTTCTCATCAAGAACACCTCCGCCGCAGCAGTAGCAGCGAGTATTTTTCTATGGCCGGAGACGTCGTCGTTAAGATCGACGACGACGGTGGTGAGCCTGTTCAAGACAACAAGATTTGGAGAGAGTCCAGCTATGATTTCTGGAATGATACCGGTGACAATGGTGAGGAAAGTTTTGATTTTCGGAATAAAAGTCACCAGCACCAGCAGCACCAAAAACCGGAGGATCCTCCGTCGCAGCTGATCGGTAAGTTTCTTCATAAACAGAAAGCTTCCGGTGAGATGTCGCTTGATATGGATTTGGAAATGATGGAGTTACAGAACGAGGATAGAGATGGAAAGTTGACGCCGGTGGATGAGTCTCCGACGATGATACAACGGGAGCTTAAGGTATCGTTTGAGGAACCTGCTTTTAGTGGGATGGAAACACCGGTGTCAGCACAGACTTTTAATAATGTTATCGAAGGGATGATTGATCCTGTTCGGAGGAGATACAGCAATTCGCCGTCTGTGGGTGATTGTTCGAGACCTCCGTTTCCCCCGAATCATGACCGGCGTCGTTCTCGATCACCGGCAGGTAGTGATTGCGAGGTTTTGAGGTGTACCTCTAATGCTTCTTTTGAGAGAAACCTTTCAATGCAGAGAAAATCTGCTTTGTTGAAAACGAAAACTAAGTCTAGGTTACTGGACCCGTCGCCGGATGAACAGCCTGATAGAAGATCGGGTCGGGTTGCTAAATCAGGTCAAATTTTGTCGGGATTTCTTGGGAAGAAAGGTGACGATGAAGAGGATGATCCTTTTATGGAAGAAGATTTTCCGGATGAGTATAAGAAAACACAATTTAGTTTATGGATTCTTCTTGAATGGTTGAGTTTAATTTTGATCATAGGGGCATTAGTAACAACTTTGAGTGTTCCATTATTGAGGGATAAGAATCTGTGGCAGCTTAAGTTGTGGAAATGGGAGGTTATGATTCTTATTCTAATTTGTGGTAGATTGGTTTCAGATTGGTTTATTAGAGTCGCTGTTTTTTGCATTGAAAGAAATTTTTTATTGAGAAAAAGGGTTCTTTATTTTGTGTATGGTGTGAAGAAAGCAGTGCAAAATTGTGTCTGGTTAGGACTTGTTTTGATTGCATGGCATTTTCTCTTTGATAAGAGAGTTCAAAGAGAGACAAAAGGTGTTTTTCTTCAATATGTTACCAAAGTTTTGGTGTGTTTCTTGGTTGGTACTTTGGTGTGGTTGTTAAAAACTCTAATAGTTAAGGTTTTAGCTTCTTCTTTTCATGTGAGCACGTACTTTGATAGGATTCAAGAGTCGCTGTTTAATCAATTCGTGATAGAAACACTCTCGGGGCCACCTTTGGTGGAAATTCGAAGGGCCGAAGAGGAAGAGGAAAGACTTGCTGATGAGGTTCAAAAGTTGCAAAATGCTGGTGCAAACATGCCACCAGATCTTAGAGCTACTGCCTTTCCTTCAAACAGAAGTGGAAGGTTGAGGAGTGGAATGCTTCAGAAAAGTCCCGTCAAAAGTGGAAAGTTTTCGATGCCACTTTCTAAGAAGTCTGATGATGGTGGGATTGGGAATGGTGGTGGAATTACTATTGATCACTTGCATAAGTTGAATCCAAACAATGTGTCTGCTTGGAATATGAAGAGATTAATGAATATGGTTCGTCACGGAGTACTTACTACATTGGATGAACATATCATTGATGCCACTCCGGACGATGAGCATGCCACACAAATCAGAAGTGAAAATGAGGCTAAAGCAGCTGCCAAGAAAATCTTTCAAAATGTTGCTAGGCGCGGCTGCAGGTTATTATCCATTAATCTAGTGTTACTTGCAAATTATTACTCTATCTTTATGACATTATCGATATCACAGTGTATGGGCCGTGTCCCTTTGTGTCTGTATCAGAGTTTGTGCTTCATAGTATAGTAGCTTGCTTGTTTCCATTTTTATATCTGTAATTTTATTTCTTTCATTTTTGTTGCATTGAAGGTTTATATACCCCGAGGACTTGATTCGTTTTATGCGAGAAGATGAAACAGTAAAAACCTTAAATCTCTTTGAAGGGGCATCTGATTCTGGAAAAATCAGCAAATCCGCTTTGAAGAACTGGGTGGTAAGAATTAACGGTTCAGCCTATACCTAAACCATGTATTAGGATACACTTTCGTATATATTTTTCTATTATTTGTCTGCCATATAGTACACGTCTATTAATTGCATCGAGATAAACTCAGCATTTCATTGGTGCATGTTGTTACGAGCAATTGTAATGTGTTTGCTTCTATAGTATTTACACCAATGTTGTGCATTTTATTGTGCAGGTGAATGCGTTCAGGGAGAGGAGAGCCCTTGCTTTGACATTGAATGACACCAAAACAGCGGTGAACAAACTTCACCGAATGCTCAATTTTTTAGTTGCCATTGTCATACTGGTTATTTGGCTCTTGATATTGGAAATCGCCACCACCAAATTTCTTCTTTTCGTGAGCTCACAACTGGTCTTGGTTGCATTTATATTCGGTAACACCTGCAAGACCGTCTTTGAAGCAATCATATTTTTATTTGTTATGCATCCATTTGATGTGGGAGATAGATGTGAAATTGATACCGTTCAGGTAATGTTTATATCTCTAGGAGCTTATAGATTGTCTTCTTGCATCACAGACATATCTAATTGTATCCCTTCTTATTTTTGCTCTCTTATTTCAGATGGTTGTAGAAGAAATGAACATATTGACTACGGTATTTCTAAGATACGATAATCTAAAGATAACGATCCCTAATAGTGTCCTTGCTACTAAGGCTATACAAAATTTCTACCGTAGTCCTGACATGGGAGATGCGATTGAATTCTGTATCCATATAGCTACTCCGCTTGAAAAGGTTTCACTTATGAAACATAGAATACATAGGTATGTACTTCCTCGTCTCTCTTCTTTATTATGTATGCATATTTATTGTTACATATATCTGAGCTAAAACCGTTAATGACCACAATGCAGTTACGTCGATAATAAGAAAGAGCACTGGTACCCTTCGCCTTTCATAGTCTTGAAGGATCACGAGCAAATGAACATGGTGAGAGTGGCGATCTGGCCAACTCATAGAATGAACTTCCAAGACATGGGAGAAAGATTTATCAGAAGATCTATGCTAATTGAAGAGTTAATGAAGATTTTTAGAGATCTCGACATTCAATACCGTCTCATGCCTCTCGACATCAACGTAAGAGCTATGCCTACCACTTCTGAACGTGTTCCAGCTAGTTGGTCAATGGTCACAAATTGAGTGGAAAGACGAAATTCATCACATACTTAGTATTCTCATGTTATGCGTGTTATGGGTACTATCTGCTCCGAGAGTGTTAACCTTTTAGCAGGGTAGACTTTATGTAGAGTTTCTTTTGGCTATTGTTGTAGATTAGTTTGATATTTACTAGATTAGTTAGTTACTTTTCTCAAGCAGTTTTGTTTAGATATTGAGTATTACATGGTTATGGGGGAAAATCTACTGATATGGGATGGTCAGTTACTGGACAGACATTGTTATGAATTTTACTACTCAATCCTCTCATTTAATATGCCCCATGGAAGCTCATGATAGGCCTAACACTTTTTTTACCTAACATTAAGGTGAAAAGAATGCCCCCTACATTTAGTAGTCATCTTTACAGCATGGTAGTCTTTATTCTAGAGAGAACAGTTTTGTTGGATATGTGATAAAATATTAAAATGTAACATTAAATTAGTTGAATGTTGGGCGGGCGCTATATCAAAAAATTGAAAAGGTATGAAATATTCATGTATTTTAAGTATTGTAAAAGTAATATTTACTGTATGTGCCGTAAAAGTTGTGTTATTTTTACGATTATCATGAAAGTCATATGTATATTAGGTTTTGTTGGACCTGAGTTTTGCATATTTATATTTTTAGAAACATTCTTGAGAAAAAAATTTAAATTTATGTGGAATTTATTTATTTTTAATTGAAATTATAGAGTGATTGTGATACGAAAATTTTATTTTTATTTTATAATTAATCAAAATATTGTGATTGGTTGAGTGTAAAATGTTATGATTGTTTTTATCTAAGAATTTTTTGTTTTGTAGATTTTTACTTAATAAATTAAATTATAAGAAGTTTTGGATCTTTTACACAAATTAAAAAATATAATTATTGTTATATTAAAAAGAAAAATTATACATGATTTTACGATTTTATAATATAGTCATTTATTTATAATAGATGTAAGAGAATGTTAAAGAGAAATAATAAAAAATAATATAGGATATGTTTAAAAAAAAGATTATTAATGTTAAGGTGAGATAGTAAAGTAACTTATAATTTAGATAATTTTACAAAATGATTTATAATCCGAAACAAAAGGAATAATACTAATTTTAAATACATACGTGTGTTGCCCACTTTTCAAGTGTGAACGTCAACTTTATTCCAACTCCTTTTTTTTTTTTTTTGTCATTGTCAAGATCATGGTCCAATCTCCGAGTCTCATGGGATAGACATGTTCTAAAAACATATGATCAAGGTTAACTTGACCTTTATTCAAGGCTGTATTTTATGCATGTGCAAGACAAGACAAGTTAGCGTATAGGGTCAAAATTTGTCCCGATTAAATCATAGATAAACACAATTACTTAAAAATATGAAAAACTTTTGTGCTCCTTGTATGTTATTAAAATACTATTTAAAAATATAAAACTGCTCCTAATTTTTGAATATTTATTTTTGGACGCATCATCGTAAGTAAATAAAATTATGATTTAAAGTTAAAATTTTTTTTAGATATATCTTCATAATTATTTCAGAGTTGCATCTACAGACGATATTATATGTTAAATTGCGCTAAAACTCTTCTCCTTCCTCATTTTTAAAAAAAATATAAAATTTTCAAACTCTCAGTTTTTCCATCAACCAAGTCCAAAATCAAAGAACCAAGCTCAAGGGTTCTTCAATCAACATCAAGTACATCAAAAACATCATCCAATACTGAAGTAAACTCTAAATTTATGTTTTTGATATTTTGAAAAGTTTTTTGAGTTTTCGTGTAAATGAGTAGAAATTGATGATTGAGGTATGAAATAAGTAGAAGTTGCATATAGTTTATATATCCTATAAAACATGTTCTTTGGTTGAAAATAACCACCAAAGCATTATTTTTGGGGTTTGGTGGTTTGCATTGCCGCCATTGAAGAGTCTGAAAAGTTGCATTCTCATTACCTATAGATGCATCTCCGTAAATTATCAGTTTGTTTTAATTTTTTTGTTACTTTTATTGATTGTATGATTGCTTGTATCAATTGCATGGTTTACTTACAAACATTATGGCTGATAGAGACGATATACTGAGGCACGAGAGGATTGCACAACATGCATCAATGCGGAGGGAGAAGAGCCAGGTTTTAGAGGCTTTTGTTCACTCTAGCTATGCAAAGACATCTACATCTAGGGCTCATGCTTCTCCATCTTCTTTTTCCCGTGGGAGACAGGTTTCACCTATGAACACATCACTGCGTCCACCCTCTTGTCACACCCTCATTTTCACCTTTAGCCTTTCATACCCTGCATTAATTCGTCATATCTTACATCGTTCTATTGCATATCGAGCATGTGGATTCACAAGGTAAGGATTGGGGCGGTCCATTGTTTTCCATTTCAAATAAGAGAAATTGTTAATCATGGGCTACATGGAAGAAAATGTTCATCATCTAAGGTTTGATTCAAGTTGGAAATTCTACTCATGTAGATTTCTTCAAGGAGAAGTTAGTTGGAAAATATTGAGGTATTCAAGGACAATGTTCCTAATGAACATGAAGTGCAAAGCCTAATTCAAGATTTCTTCATCCAACTTTGGTTCAAATTCTATGTTCAAGTGGAATTCAAATTTGCAAGACATAAGTCAAGATCACAAGTTCATAATTCAAGACTTCATTCATTTCAAATTCAATGGCATAAGGGAGTTCCATCAATCCAAATTCAAGATTCATGACTTCAAGATTAGATTCAAGAATATTACAAAGGGAAATTTCATTACATTGCGAAAATGTCACATTTGATACAAAGTTTCTAACTCTAAGTAATGCTTAGGCAATTAAGTTATTTCTAATCTTAATTCAAGTTTCTAATCAACTTCATGTTATGGTACCCTTCATGCCCCATCAAGTCCACATGTTCCTCGTTATGCTTACAAACATCCAAGGAAAATAATTAAGATACAACTTAACATTGGAACATTTCAAGACTATGCATGCTTAGCCATGGAAAATTTTAATGTGATCCAAAACAGTACCATGCAAAAAAGTGACAAATTGTCTCACCAATTCATGTCACAAAACCAAAGGAATAAACCCATAATGATGCATCTAAATATCATAATTTTAAAATGCTGTCAAAGGTAGAAATTTGGACCACAAGGGCAATCCAAACACAAGAAAACAAATGGGTTCAGATTTGGAAACAAGACAAAAGGCAGTAGAAAATACATCAAAGATAATTCATGGAAATGGAAAGAATTGGGCTTGGCATCGAGAAAGTGATGAGAAGCATATCCCAATGAAAATATGCTGCAACAAACCCTATTGTTTGACTATAAGAAAGGGAGCAACAGAGATAAGAGACACACATGGACACATAGAGAGATATTGAGAGCAAGAGGCATTGAGAAAAATCAGAAAAAAGGCATTGAGAAAAAACAGGAAAAAAGAGATTGAGAAAGAAAAACCATTGAGAGAATAAGAGAGTGATAGAAGACCAGAAGAAGGAGGTGAACCATAGAGCACAACCAACAAAAGCTAGTGGTGATTAGAAGGAGAAGAGTAGCTCTTGGGTATCTTTCATTTCAAACCCTTATCTCTTTACTTATTTTGCATGTTTTATTTTCTCTTAAGTTATTGGTGTTGTACACATTGTAGTAAGGTCTCAAAATGACCAAGATCTGTTGTAAAAAAGTAAGTAAGAAAGAAAGAACATAGTGTAGTTTTCATAGTGAGATGAGTTGAAAAATACTCATCTTTACTGTCATGTTCGCACTGCGAACATCTCCTTCACCTAGCGAACAAGCTTTTGTGGTACTCAAAGTGCCACTGGACAACCAGTTTTCCCTTGTTTTTAGCCAGCAAGTTGTTCGCTGGCACCTTCGCACTACGAACTTTGGCACCTTTTGCCTCTGTTTGCGTTCGCTAGGAAGTTCGCACAGCGATCTTCTTGCTGTTTTTGCTAGGCAGCTTCGCACAGCGAACTTTAGTGCCTTTTGCCTTTGTTTGCATTCACTAGGAAGTTTGCACAGTGAACTTCTTGTTGTTTTCTGGGCAGCTTCGCTGCAAGGTTCGCACAACAAGCTTCCCATAGTTTTCATATCTTGTTTTTTTTAAGCCGACTAACCCGATGTGGTTGTACGACCATTGCATGTGGACGTTATTTTGGTCATTTTTTGACTTTTGGTTCTAAAAACTATTTTAAAAAATAAACTCTCGATTTTATCGAGCTATTTTCAACCTTGTAAGTCGATTGCCTTGTGCATCACCATCAACCTTGTTCGCATCACTTCGAATATTTTTACAAGCAATAAAACCCTTGATCCAACATCAAGTGGTATTTTTCTCATAAAAAATCTAAAATACAATAAAGATACGATTGAGGTTATACATCATAAGCTTTAAAGTGGTGGAGAAGGAATGAGAATGGAACCCTCCTACACTTGTTCCGAATGTTTTGAATACAAGGCGCTCGACTTGGTTATTCGAAACATTCATATCTATCCAAAGTCTTTAGTGTGATCCTAATCAAGAACAGTTTCTTCTCAAAAAACTTAAAAATAACATCAACTCATCAAACTTCCTTTCGCCTTAGGGCATCAATCCGAAAACCCTTTTTCAAGGTATAAAATCAACCAACAAACAACCATTTCACAAGCCTCTGAACTGCAGAGCTCTGATTTTTCACTTCTTTTAAGTGAGGATACGTAGGCACAAGGGGCACAATCCTTGGCGAGCACTCTAATAAAAACCAATCCCTCTTTTCTTTTTAGAAAGAAAACTCTTAGATTAAAACACCCATTCAAGCTAAGCAACTTAGGAGGTTCCCATCGAGTACGATGGATGTAAGGGGGTGCTAATACCTTCCCCTCACATAACCGACTCCCAAACCCTAAGACTTAGCTACGATGACTATGCTCTTTTCCTAAAGGTTTTATCGTTATTTCCCTTTCCCTCCTTGGGATAAATAAAATCCGGTGGCGACTATGTGTCATTTTTCGCATAGCGACAGCTGGC